CTGTATGTTGACACTGGCGTCCTGTCTCTACACGACCGCCGTCATCGCTACTGTCTTCGCTACCTTGTGAGGTCTTAGGTATCAACCAGGTAACAACCAGGTATCAACCAGGTAACAACCAGGTATCAACCAGGTAACAACCAGGTATCAACCAGGTAACAACCAGGTATCAACCAGGTCCTTACAACACCTTCACTCTCGCTTGTGTCGTGCCTTGACCTGTACCCCTCCTGTGGTCCCTGTACCCCTCCTGTGGTCCCTGTACCCCTCCTGTGGTCCCTGTACCCCTCCTGTGGTCCCTGTACCCCTCCTGTGGTCCCTGTACCCCTCCTGTGGTCCCTGTACCCCTCCTGTGGTCCCTGTACCCCTCCTGTGGTCCCTGTACCCCTCCTGTGGTCCCTGTACCCCTCCTGTGGTCCCTGAACCCCTCCTGTGGTCCCTGTACCCCTCCTGTGGTCCCTGTACCCCTCCTGTGGTCCCTGTACCCCTCCTGTGGTCCCTGTACCCCTCCTGTGGTCCCTGTACCCCTCCTGTGGTCCCTGTACCCCTCCTGTGGTCCCTGTACCCCTCCTGTGGTCCCTGTTCCCCTTCACCACCTACCTCTATCTGTACGGTTGTCTCACTTACAGAATTCTTTCGGTTAGTATTACCAATATTTCTCCTCGTGTTGTTCTGTCCTTGCCCCCGTGGAGGGTCCCCCTTCCTAAAGTGTGTAAACCCCTGATCCACATCACTAAAGCTTTTACTCCTCCTACAGTTCTGAAACTCGTTTTCCTTGAACACTTTTCTTCCCACTCTCGCTCCATTTCCATCTTCACCGATGGGTCTAAGTCTGCGGACGGTGTAGGCTACTCTGTTGTTTTTCCTGACCACACCTATATGTGTCGCCGGCCTCCGGAGACCAGCATCTTCACAGCAGAACTTTATGCTATTCCATATGCTCTTCGTCAACTGCTTTCTTGCTGTCAATCCTCCTTTGTTGTTGTAGTTGACTTTGGCAGTGTCATCATGGCTCTGGAGTCCTTTAATCTAGTTCATCCGGTGGTCGTCGAAGTTCAGCATTGGCTGTTTCTTGTTTCCAGTAGACTTAAGACATTAGAGTTGTGCTGGGTTCCCAGCCATTTTGGTGTGTACATAAATGAGCGTGTGGACGCTGCCGCTAAGGAAGCTATCCGCACTTGTCCCATCTCCCGTAAAGGTGTTCCTTATTCTGACTTCTACCCTGTTATTCATTCCTACATCCTTGCCCATTGGCAGGGTTGTTGGTCATCTGTTGCTGATAACAAACTTTGTACTCTTAACAGTAGTGTGTCCCCCGTGGCCTTCCTCCTACCATGCTAACCGGCGGTGGGAAACAGCTCTGGCAAGGTTGTGTATTGGCCACCATTCGCGCTTAACTCGCAGGCACTTAATGGAGCGTCTGTTCCTTATTGTCCAAAGTACATTGTCCCTCTTACAGTCGTGCATATCCTTGTTGAATGTCTTGACTTCCAGGACGAGCGTGTGTCTTGCTTTCCCGACCGTCCCTCGCGGTCACTTGTCCCTTGATAGAATTCTTGGTAAATCGGATACTTTTGATATCGTTCGCCTTATGCCCTATTGTTCCCATTCTGGCATCCTTAGTGCCATTTAGCGCCCTATGAACACCCCGCACATTTGATGGTGCTTCATAGCCGTCCCAGCTTGGTGCCTTCTTTTGTTTATTACCTGTTTATTTACTACACAATAGAGCGAAGACATAATGTAGTGAAGATAGGTGTAGGGAGCAGGAGACCAGTTACAAGATATCATTTGGGAGATGAAATACTTCAAGAGTCAGAGAGAAAGACTTGGGAGTTGATATCACGCCAGACCTGTCCCCTGAAGCCCATATCAAGAGGATAACATCAACGGCATATGCCAGGTTGGCCAACATAAGAACAGCCTTTAGAAACTTGTGTAAGGAATCATTCAGAACTTTGTATACCACATATGTCAGACCAATCCTGGAGTATGCGGCTCCAGCATGGAGTCCATATCTAGTCAAGCATAAGACAAAATTGGGGAAGGTTCCAAGGTTTGCCACCAGACTAGTACCCGAACTGAGAGGTATGAGCTACGAAGAGAGACTACGGGAATTGAACCTCACGTCGTTGGGAGACAGAAGAGTTAGAGGGGACATGATCACCACATACAAGATTTTCAGAGGAAATGATAGGTAGATAAAGACAGACTATTTAACACAAGGGGCACACGCACTAGGGGACACAGGTGGAAACTGAGTACCCACATGAGCCACAGAGACGTTAGAAGGAACTTTGTCAGTGTCAGAGTAGTTAACGGATGGAATGCATTAGGAAGTGATGTGGTGGAGGCTGACTCCATACACAGTTTATAATGTAGATATGATAGAGCCCAATAGGCCCAGGAACTTGTACACCAGTTGATTGACAGTTGAGAGGCGGGACCCAAGAGCCAGAGCTCAACCCCCGCCATCACCACTAGGAGAGTACACCCACACAGTGATGGTGGAGGCCAACTTGGAGTGTAAGAGAGTACACCCACACAGTGATGGTGGAGGCCAACTTGGAGTGTAAGAGAGTACACCCACACAGTGATGGTGGAGGCCAACTTGGAGTGTAAGAGAGTACACACACACAGTGATGGTGGAGGCCAACTTGGAGTGTAAGAGAGTACACCCACACAGTGATGGTGGAGGCCAACTTGGAGTGTAAGAGAGTACACCCACACAGTGATGGTGGAGGCCAACTTGGAGTGTAAGGTGAGAGTACACACACACACAGTGGTGGTGGAGGCCAACTTGGAGTGTAAGGTGAGAGTACACACACACAGTGATGGTGGAGGCCAACTTGGAGTGTAAGAGAGTACACACACACACAGTGATGGTGGAGGCCAACTTGGAGTGTAAGGTGAGAGTACACACACACACAGTGGTGGTGGAGGCCAACTTGGAGTGTAAGGTGAGAGTACACACACACACAGTGATGGTGGAGGCCAACTTGGAGTGTAAGGTGAGAGTACACACCCACACAGTGATGGTGGAGGCCAACTTGGAGTGTAAGGTGAGAGTACACCCACACAGTGATGGTGGAGGCCAACTTGGAGTGTAAGGTGAGAGTACACACCCACACAGTGGTGGTGGAGGCCAACTTGGAGTGTAAGGTGAGAGTACACACCCACACAGTGGTGGTGGAGGCCAACTTGGAGTGTAAGGTGAGAGTACACACCCACAGTGTGGTGGTGGAGGCCAACTTGGAGTGTAAGGTGAGAGTACACACCCACACAGTGGTGGTGGAGGCCAACTTGGAGTGTAAGGTGAGAGTACACACCCACACAGTGGTGGTGGAGGCCAACTTGGAGTGTAAGGTGAGAGTACACACCCACACAGTGGTGGTGGAGGCCAACTTGGAGTGTAAGGTGAGAGTACACACCCACACAGTGGTGGTGGAGGCCAACTTGGAGTGTAAGGTGAGAGTACACACCCACACAGTGGTGGTGGAGGCCAACTTGGAGTGTAAGAGAGTACACACACAGTGATGGTGGAGGCCAACTTGGAGTGTAAGAGAGTACACCCACACAGTGATGGTGGAGGCCAACTTGGAGTGTAAGGTGGTGTTCACAGCCTCGAGTGTCACAACCTGTAACACTTCAAGTGTGTCCCCGCCATCTTGAGTGTTTATATCTCCAACACAAACAACAAAACTTTCTTTGTTATCTTAGACAACTGTGTTTCCTTCTTGGTCGTTATCTTAAACTATTCCAGTTGGTTTACCAGCAAGTGAACTTAACCGCTTTGGCTAGATGGTACAGCGACCAACTCGCTCTACCAAGGGTCGGGGTTCGATCACCGATGTGTGTGTGTGTGTGTGTGTGTGTGTACTCACCTAGTTGTGCTTGCGGGGGTTGAGCTTTGGCTCTTTGGTCCCGCCTCTCAACTGTCAATCAACTGGTGTACAGGTTCCTGAGCCTATTGGGCTCTATCATATCTACATTATAAACTGTGTATGGAGTCAGCCTCCACCACATCACTGCCTAATGCATTCCATCCGTTAACTACTCTGACACTGACAAAGTTCCTTCTAGCGTCTCTGTGGCTCATGTGGGTACTCAGTCTCCACCTGTGTCCCCTTGTTCGCGTCCCACCAGTGTTGAATAGTTTATCCTTGTTTACCCGGTCGATTCCTCTGAGGATTTTGTAGGTTGTGATCATGTCTCCCCTTACTCTTCTGTCTTCCAGTGCCGTAAGGTGCATTTCCCGCAGCCTTTCCTTATAACTCATGCCTCTTAGTTCTGGGACTAGTCTAGTGGCATACCTTTGGACTTTTTCCAGCTTCGTCTTGTGCTTGACAAGGTACGGGCTCCATGCTGGGGCCGCATACTCCAGGATTGGTCTTACATATGTGGTGTACAAGATTCTGAATGATTCCTTACACAGGTTCCTGAACACTTCATCAGAATCATTCCTTCCGAATGATTAGGGGTTGAGTAGTTGAAGAGTCAGGAGGTTTGGGGCCCAGGAGCAGGAGCCCACCCTAATTAATTCCTAACTTGTCCCTGGCTTCCTGTCCCAGACACGATGAAATTTTGTTATTATACAACCCGTCCTCTGAGCAAGTCCATTCCATCCAGCGGTCGACCCCACTGACACATTCATTAACCTGCTCTTCAGTCATGATAGAAATGTTCTCAAATATAAATTAGTATTGTTATATATTATTTGTATTTGTAGTACGTGGTTGAGGCATTTATAGGGTTATGGTTCGAACACCAGTCGTCAGTGAAGCACTTGTTCCGGAAGTGTTCGAACGTCAGCAGTTGTTAGTCGTGGGTAAACCGTTTTTCATTCGTAAACAGCTGAGGGGTTGGCGGGTGGATGGAATGGTCTGTGTTTATGAGTTGATACATACTGGCAGGTGAGTGTAGGAGACACATACATGTGTCCCGAGGCACAAGTGTAGTTGAGAGAGGTTAATAAGGCCATATATTGTGTGTGTGTGCAGGCAAGGTTGTGCCGTACCTGGAGTTCACGGTGGCCCACGCCTCCATGCTGACCATCCTGGCCATCTCCGTGGAGCGGTACCGGGCCATCTGTCACCCCCTCACTGTGGCCGCCTCCTGCACCAGGCTCCGGGCCGCCCTCACCTGCCTCCTCGTCTGGGTCATCGCCACCTGCCTCACCAGGTCAGTCCCCCCTTACACGGGGGGCAACGCCCCCACCACGGCGGTCTTGTTTATGTATTGTTCCTCCCACAACCCATGTGTCCTCCCCACAGCCAATGTGTCCCCACAGCCAATGTGTCCCCACAGCCAATGTGTCCCCCACAGCCCATGTGTCCCCCACAGCCCATGTGTCTTCCCATAGCCCATGTGTCTCCCCCACAGCCCATGTGTCCTCCCCACAGCCCATGTGTCTCCCCCACAGCCCATGTGTCTCCCCCACAGCCCATGTGTCTTCCCACAGCCCATGTGTCTCCCCCACAGCCCATGTGTCCCCCACAGCCCATGTGTCTTCCCCACAGCCCATGTGTCTCCCCCACAGCCCATGTGTCTTCCCACAGCCCATGTGTCTTCCCACAGCCCATGTGTCTTCCCCACAGCCCATGTGTCCCCCACAGCCCATGTGTCTTCCCCACGGCCCATGTGTCCCCCACAGCCCATGTGTCTTCCCACAGCCCATGTGTCTTCCCCACAACCCATGTGTCTCCCCCACAGCCCATGTGTCTCCCCCACAGCCCATGTGTCTCCCCCACAGCCCATGTGTCTCCCCCACAGCCCATGTGTCTCCCCCACAGCCCATGTGTCTCCCCCACAGCCCATGTGTCCTCCCCACACAGCCCATGTGTCCTCCCCACAGCCCATGTGTCTCCCCCACAGCCCATGTGTCTCCCCCACAGCCCATGTGTCTCCCCCACAGCCCATGTGTCTTCCCCACAGCCCATGTGTCTCCCCCACAGCCCATGTGTCTTCCCCACAGCCCATGTGTCTTCCCACAGCCCATGTGTCTCCCCCACAGCCCATGTGTCTCCCCCACAGCCCATGTGTCTTCCCCACAGCCCATGTGTCTCCCCCACAGCCCATGTGTCCTCCCCACAGCCCATGTGTCTCCCCCACAGCCCATGTGTCTCCCCCACAGCCCATGTGTCTCCCCCACAGCCCATGTGTCTCCCCCACAGCCCATGTGTCTCCCCCACAGCCCATGTGTCCTCCCCACACAGCCCATGTGTCCTCCCCACACAGCTCATGTGTCCTCCCCACAGCCCATGTGTCCTCCCCACACAGCCCATGTATCCTCCCCACACAGCCCATGTGTCTCCCCCCAGCCCATGTATCCTCCCCACACAGCCCATGTGTCTCCCCCACAGCCCATGTGTCCTCCCCACACAGCCCATGTGTCTCCCCCACAGCCCATGTGTCCTCCCCACAGCCCATGTGTCTCCCCCACAGCCCATGTGTCCTCCCCACACAGCCCATGTGTCCTCCCCACACAGCTCATGTGTCCTCCCCACAGCCCATGTGTCCTCCCCACACAGCCCATGTGTCTCCCCCACAGCCCATGTGTCCTCCCCACAGCCCATGTGTCCTCCCCACAGCCCATGTATCCTCCCCACACAGCCCATGTGTCTCCCCCAGAGCCCATGTGTCCTCCCCACAGCCCATGTGTCCTCCCCACACAGCCCATGTGTCTCCCCCCCAGCCCATGTGTCCTCCCCACACAGCCCATGTGTCCTCCCCACACAGCCCATGTGTCCTCCCCACAGCCCATGTGTCCTCCCCACAGCCCATGTGTCCTCCCCACACAGCCCATGTGTCCTCCCCACAGCCCATGTGTCCTCCCCACACAGCCCATGTGTCCTCCCCACACAGCCCATGTGTCCTCCCCACAGCCCATGTATCCTCCCCACACAGCCCATGTGTCTCCCCCCCAGCCCATGTATCCTCCCCACACAGCCCATGTGTCTCCCCCACAGCCCATGTGTCCTCCCCACAGCCCATGTGTCCTCACCACCGCCCATGTGTCCCCACACACCACATAACCAGCCCATGTGTCCCCCACACACCACATAACCAGCCCATGTGTCCCCCACACACAACATAACCAGCCCATGTGTCCCCCACACACAACATAACCAGCCCATGTGTCCCCCACACACAACATAACCAGCCCATGTGTCCCCCACACACAACATAACCAGCCTATGTGTCCCCCACACACTACATAACCAGCCCATGTGTCCCCCACACACAACATAACCAGCCTATGTGTCCCCCACACACTACATAACCAGCCCATGTGTCCCCCACACACCACATAACCAGCCCATGTGTCCCCCACACACTACATAACCAGCCCATGTGTCTCCCACACACTACAAAACCAGCCCATGTGTCCCCCACACACCACATAACCAGCCCATGTGTCCCCCACACACTATATAACCAGCCCATGTGTCCCCCACACACGACATAACCAACCCATGTGTCCCCACACACCACATAACCAGCCCATGTGTCCCCCACACACCACATAACCAACCCATGTGTCCCCACACACCACATAACCAGCCCATGTGTCCCCCACACACCACATAACCAACCCATGTGTCCCCACACACCACATAACCAGCCCATGTGTCCCCCACACACCACATAACCAGCCCATGTGTCTCCCTACAGCCCGGTGATCGCCCTGACGGAACACAGACGTGTCCGATACATTGATGAGTCCATCGTTCCTGTCTGCTACACGCGGGCTGACAAACCCTGGGCTCAGGTCAGTCCTCGTCCGAGCCTATTGGGCTCTATCATATCTACATTATAAACTGTGTATGGAGTCAGCCTCCACCACATCACTGCCTAATACATTCCACCTGTTAACTACTCTGACACTGACAAAGTTCCTTCTAACGTCCCTGTGGCTCATGTGGGTACTCAGTCTCCACCTGTGTCCCCTTGTGAGTGTGTAACCTGTCTTATACATATTGCTTTTTGCTGCCCTGTTAATTCCTCTGAGAATCTTGTATGTGGTGAACATGTCTCCCCTAACTCGTGTGTGGGGGGGAGGGGAAAGGGAGGAGAAACTTGACAGGTGTGGTGGTGGTGGGGAACATGACAGGTGTGGTGGTTGAGGGGAACATGACAGGTGTGTTAGTACTCACATTGTATGACAGTTGGGATGTAGCCAATCACGGTCGGGCAGGTCTGTGACGTCACTCCCTACACAGGTGGTAGTGGCCCTCTGGAGACCTGGGACCAGATTCACGAAGCAGTTACGCAAGCACTTACGAACCTGTTCATCTTTCCATAATTTTTATCGGCTTTGTTTACAATTATTAAACAGTTAATGAGCTCCGAAGCACCAGGAGGCTGTTTATAACAATAACAACAGTTGATTGGCAAGTTTTCATGCTTGTAAACTGTTTAATAAATGTAACCAAAGCCGTCAAAGATTGAGGAAAAGATGTACAGGTTCGTAAGTACTTGCGTAACTGCTTCGTGAATGTGGCCCCAGGGTCAGTATTCTGACACACGGACGGAGGAGGTCGGAGCTCGGGTGGTCGTAGCTCCGCACTCTCACCTTCCTCACTACACTGCTGGAGTGATCTACGGTGTGTTCACCTTCCTCACTACACTGCTGGAGTGATCTACGGTGTGTTCTCTGCACTCCAACAAGAACAATACATTCAAAGGTAACGAACACTGGTCGCAGCTGTGGGATCCCGAATGAATTTTCTGGGCAACGAATCTCAAGTACCCATAAGGCCACGTGTTTGAAGCCGCCACCGCCGCCGCCGCAAACCGCCGTCGCCGTTGCCGCAAGCCGCCACCGCCGCCGCAAGCCACCGCAAGCCGCCACCGCCGCCGCAAGCCACCGCAAGCCGCCACCGCCGCCGCAAGCCACCGCCGCCGCCACCGCAAGCCGCCGCCGCAAGCCGCCACCGCCGCCGCCACCGCAAGCCGCCACCGCAAGCCGCCGCCGCCGCTGCAAGCCGTCGCCGCCGCAAACCGCCGTCGCCGCCACCGCAAGCCGTCGCCGCCACCAATGCATTAATATTTAATGATATTGTGCCAGTCCTGGGTGCTCCCATCAGCCACTACGCTCGGTCGACGTCCTCAGAAGTAAGGCGCAATATTTACAAGTGAGAACGCAATTTCATCAGTGAGGGGAGAGGAATTTGCGCCGCCAGACATTTTTGAATTTCCCGCGCCATCTTGGCGCCTGCGCCGCCCCCCACCATCACCCGCGCCCACACACGCCGCTCCTGCTACATCACTCTGCTGTGAACTCCTGCCTAGCAAATCGTGCTTTCCTCGCCATCATCGACGCTATATCGTCGTCTCAGCGCTTATCGTCGCGCCCCGACATCATTGCCAGTGTAGGGGTCCCAGTTGAGCTTCGCGCCACGGCCGCTAGGAGCGCTGCCTCCAGCCACACGGAACTTAGACAAATCTGTGTGTAATTTGTACACACATTGGGGAAACCGGTCGGCCGAGCGGACAGCATGCAGGACTTGTGATCCTGTGGTCCTGGGTTCGATCCCAGGCGCCGGCGAGAAACAATGGGCAGAGTTTCTTTCACCCTATGCCCCTGTTACATAGCAGTAAAATAGGTACCTGGGTGTTAGTCAGCTGTCACGGGCTGCTTCCTGGGGTGTGGAGGCCTGGTCGAGGACCGGGCCGCGGGGACACTAAAGCCCCGAAATCATCTCAAGATAACCTGAAGAAGATACATGTACAGATCGTGCATGGGCCTCTTCATCGCCTTGCCACCGGGTTTCCGTGTTGGTCGCGGTTAGATCACAAAGCCTGCTGCCCTGAGTTAAGTAATTAAGAGCTAAGACTTCGTGTGCCATATTTTAAAAAGGTATGACGTAAATATATCCAGAACATCATATGTATTAACCATTCAGTAACATGCAGGCGATGAGTCACAATAACGTGGCTGAAGTATGTTGACCAGACCACACACTAGAAGTTGAAGGGACGACGACGTTTCGATCCGTCCTGGACCATTCTCAAGTCGACTTGAGAATGGTCCAGGACGGACCGGAACGTCGTCGTCCCTTCAACTTCTAGTGTGTGGTCTAGTCACCATTCAGTAAAATGTTACGTACTCAACTCCCAAAGTTTCCCGGAGTAATTTCATCATTTCCTGTTTCTCACAGTAATTTCACTGTGCATTAATTGTGTTAACTAGAGTGTTATTAGTACATTCAAAGTCCAGTTTTTTTTATTGTTGCCACTGGAGGCGGCTAGTTTATTGTGCACCCCATACCCATCCTGTGAGCGGTAGCGCAAAAAGCATTACAGAGGGCACAAAAGGTCTTTATCAGACCTCATCTTAGATTATTACATAAACAATTTCATCTATCCTTCACGCCTTATAGATACTATGTCAGCTAGTTACAGAGAAAGTGCTATTACAAGAGCAGTCCAGAGAAGTAAGAAATCATTGGTTTAATAACAGTTAAGGATTTACACAATAGATTTTTTTTTCCTCCAGACCTAAATTTGAAATTTATTTCTTCAACATTTCACATTATAATTTTACCATAGCAATATATATATATATATATATATGACAATGTCAGACCACGGAGGAAAAATGAAACAGGAAATTTCCTTAAGTACTTTCGTATATAAATTACTTTCGTATATAAATTTAAGGAAATTTCCTGTTTCATTTTTCCTCCGTGGTCTGACATTGTCACATTCTTAATCACGTGTTTATTTTCGTGATATACACACATATATATATATATATATATATATATATATATATATATATATATATATATATATATATATATATATATATATATATATATATATATATAACTGAAAACTCACACCCCAGAAGTGACTCGAACCCATACTCCCAGAAGCAACGCAACTGGTATGGGTAAATATGGGTTCGAGTCACTTCTGGGGTGTGAGTTTTCAGTTGCATATTGTCCTGGGGACCATTCAGGTTTGTTCGCATTTGTGTTCCTCACGTGTGCCCCAAAGAATGAGGTGATTTGGTAAAATGCTATGCCCAAGATTACTATCCGAGTGCCGGCGGTGGGGTGGTTCAAATAGCCTCGGCTATCACCTCATTATGTCCGGTCGTGATGGTCAAGTGGATTAAGGCGTCTTGTACATACCAGTTGCGTTGCTTCTGGGAGTATGGGTTCGAGTCACTTCTGGGGTGTGAGTTTTCAGTTGCATATTGTCCTGGGGACCATTCAGGTTTGTTCGCATATATATATATATATATATATATATATATATATATATATATATATATATATATATATATATATATATATATATATATATATATATATATATATACACCTGTGTCCAGTTTTTGTGCTAAATCCATATTTCCTGTATTGCCTCCTGTTGTGTTGAATTTTTTTAATCAAAATTGCAATTTTTTTTTTTTTTTTTTTTTTTGAGATATATACAAGAGTTGTTACATTCTTGTAGAGCCACTAGTACGCGTAGCGTTTCGGGCAGGTCCCTGGAATACGATCCCCTGCCGCGAAGAATCGTTGTTACAACCAAGTACACATTTTACTGTTGCGTTAAACAGAGGCTACAGTTAAGGATTTGCGCCCAGTAAATCCTCCCCGGCCAGGATACGAACCCATGACAAAGCGCTCGCGGAACGCCAGTTACACTTCAAAGTTTTATAATATAATTTGTAGTGCTTAGCCTGGTTTAATTACTTTATATACCCCCTTAACTCCATCCATTTTCATACCACATTACTAATTTCATTCACAATTTTGCTTGTTTTTAATTATTTTGTTGCCAGTACAATTTAATAATTTTTTCTGCCATTTTCTTACTTTAGCCAAGTTTGATATTTTTTGAGTCTTTTATTTTTGTGTATTCTATTTCTGATGCCTGATGCACTTAATTATAATCTGCGCTCAAGCATTACTTCAACGGCAGTGACAATGTCTTCCACTGTTGCAACTTCTTCTGACTCAGCTGGAGCAATTGTTCACACTACTCTCCAGAGGTCAGCTCAGGAAATTCGCATGCCCGAAACGCTTTGCGTAATAGTGGCTTTAGGCATTGTATGTACTAGCTCTATCTATAAATCCATCACTCTTTGTAAAATCTCTTGTATGTATGTACCTTAAATAAATAAACATTTGATTTGATTTGATGGCTATTCCACTTTTCGCTGACGAATCCCCCTTGTTAGAGTCCTGGTTTAGCAAGGTTGAGGCTAAAACCAAAGCCCGTTTTTCTGAGCCTACTGATGCTGAATATTTGGGAGTTGCTCAGTCAGCTGTGGACACAACCAAAGGTGATGCACGTTTTGTTGTTGATGAGAAAGCCATTGTTAGCCTCCAGTCTTGGTCTGAATTTAAGGATTTCTTTCGCCGGTGCTTTGTTAACACAGGAGACCTAGACCCGTATAGGTTAGTCAAGCAAATTGCCAATGCCACCATGCAGCCTGGTGAATCGTTTAATGTGTTTACTAGCCGTCTCGATCAGTATCTGTATGCCTTAGTGTCTGCTATGATTAGTTCCTCATGTGTGGATAAAGGCATAGCACTGACCCCTGAGGCTATGGCCAAAATGATAGCATTTGGGACTGTAATTAATTTTGCCCCAGAGCATACTAAACCGATCATCGAGCAACAAAATTTTGGAGTTAAACATGAAATTGGTGAAGTGTTTGAGGCTATTAACAATGCCGCTGATAAACTAGCTCCCCGAAGTGCTCAACTGTTGCCACCCTCTGACACTGTAAATGTAGTAACAAGC